ATGACCCACGTCTCGTAACTGATGGAAGCAACAGCCAAACTCCCGATTTTCAATGTTCAGCGATGGCAACCGCCTCTCACTCCACCAAAGCTCCAGCTCTTCTTCCACCTCGTTCTCCATTCATCCTCGCAGCGTTTAATGTTCGAACTTCGATGCAGATCGGACGACAAGCATGTCTGGCCCGTACTCTTGAAACGCTTTCGGCAGACATCTGTTGCCTTTCAAAGACCATATTACAAGACTCTAGCGCCGTCATCAGAATGGCCTCTCCGGTAAACCCTGATGCCAAATACCATTTGCCGCTTTCCGGAGACCCAGAAGCGGCCACCTCCGGCGAAGCTGGTGTTCGGGTTGCACTGAGTGCCAGGGTTGAATTAGCTCTGCTTGGCTGGGTTCCAGCCAACAGTCGGCTATGTGCAGTCAGACTATGAGGATCATGTAACGTAAGCAGGCGTCGAGACGTTAAGTGTGCCTTGTTTGTCCTCTCCGCCTACGCCCCTACAGACTGCAGCCCGGATGCAGTCAAGGATAGCTTTTACCAGCAGCTGCATGAACTTCGGCGTTCCTCCAAAAGGACTGATATAGTCATTCTTGCCGGGGACTTTAACGCACGTGTTGGCCGCCTATCCACCAAACGAGCACCACCTTGTGGGTAGTTTTGGTCTCGGTGGCAGTCGATCAGACAATGGAGACAGACTGCTTGCTCTTTGCTCTGATCATCGCTTGTATCTTTCGAGCACTAGTTTTCGGCACTCGTGGAAGCACACTGTTACCTGGCTCCCGCCCTCACAAACGTAAGAGTGCTCCCAGCTTGATCCATAGCAATTAGCTACAGATGGCGCGGAAGCGCAGCGGACTGCCGATCGTACTGGTCAACTTATCTAGACTCCGATCACGCATTGGTTCGTGCTAAGATTTGCATGCGTTTCGGAGGATCACCTAAGAGCGCTCACTACCGACCGGACGTCGCAAATCTACAAAACCATGCGATTTTAACCAGGTACCAAGCCTCACTGTCAACATTGCTTGGCTCAACTATTGACGGTGATCTCGATTAGCAGTGGGCGCAGATCAAAGTTGCTTTAGTTTCCGCCAGTATCGACACTTGTGGAGTTGCTTCCCCCCCCCCCCCCCCGAAGCATTGGATTTCCGCCGACTCCTTGTCGCTGATGGACAAACGCCGCTTGATCCCGTCGGATTCCAGACACAATGAAGAATGCCAATCCCTTGGTCGAGAGTTGCGCAGGAGTCTGCAAATGGACCGCGAAGCTTGGTGGTGTGAACGTGCTAGGGAGATGGAGCTTGCAGGTCTCTTCAGTAATACCAAGAAACTTTCCCATCTCATTCGAGTCACCGAAGGTGTTCGATCTGGTATAAGTGAAACAATATGCGAAGTGGATGGCACTTTAATCACCAATCTTCAACGACGGTTGGAGCGATGGGCCGAACATTTTGGCTCGCAGGTTTTTGGGGCCCCAGCTCCATCTGCTATCACTGGCGCTCCTGCTGGGGCTGAGTGGTCTACCCCTACATATCCTCCCTCTTACCAGGAACTCGAGCTGGACCTCCGGCACATGAAGCGTTATAAAGCCCCGGCCTTGATGGTCTTCTTCCAGCTCTATTTAAAGATGGTGGCGCTTCGCTGGTTCGAGAACTCACCGCTTTGTTCTCGAAAATTTGGTCGGGTCTATTGTACGACTGTTTGTCCTGTACTGTTGTACGGATGCGAGACCTGGCCCATTCGTAAAGATGACGCGCAGATTATCCGTCTTCGGGTACCGCTGTCTGCGGTCCATTGCCCGTGTGTGGTGGCAGCACCATGTAAGCAATGTGGAAGTTAGACAGCGTGTATTGGGACGTGGAAGCCATTCGCTCGAGGAGCTCGTCTCACTGCATCAACTGCGGTGGTTGGGACACGTATTGTGCATGCCTGTCAAGTGGTACTTGCGTCGTGTGTTGTTTGCGATTGCTGGACAGGGCTGGAAGAGACGGTCTGGTGGGCAGCCTCCAACATGGAGAAGCCGCATGAAAAAGCTGACGAAACAGTTGGCCTCGGCCTGTTGTTGTCGACCATCTAGTTGGGGTCCGAGAGATGCGGATACTTGCTTGTTGAAGACCTTGGAAGCCATGGTTCAAGATCGATGTCATTGGCGGACGTGCGCATCGGTGTCCCTTCTTCCTCCCCGTAAAAATGAAAAACTGAAAAAAATTTCAAAAACTGTGAGTGTTAAACTAGACAAAAATAGCATTTGCTGTTGTTGCTCTTTTCATATTATTCATACTGTTTTCCTATTCAGCCATGATTCCGATGGCACAATATCTGTACCACATGTTGTGTTATATATATATATGTATATATATATATATATATATATATATATATATCCAAAATGCTTCTGGACTGCCGCACAGAGTTCTCTTCCACTCCAAAGTCCTTCAAACATTGACCACTCGCCGTTTTAGGGTCAATGGTTGGGTAAGCCGTTTCAGATTCGGAACCACACGTGTTTACTGTTGTCCGCGTGTACTGCAAATGTGTTCTCAAGCCTAGTAACTGCCTCAGCATGGGGAAATCACCGAGTTGTGGCACACAGTATGTCATGGTGAGATAGACTCACTCGATGATTTATCATGATGCTTCTTGCACCTATCATTGTACAGGAGAACACGTAAACTCTTGATGCGCCACTCGATCTTCTGCACCTCGCCTCGAGTTATAGGACAGTAGGATGGGCGAGCCACATTCTAAGATTGATCTCATGCTAGCAGCGAAAAGACCAGTGGTGATCTTTTAAGGACACTGTGGAAGCTGCTTTTGAGCTCCCAAATCATGCGCAGTTTCATTCGATATAGCTTATTTATATCGTCCGTCTTGTGGAATGTAGCAACTAGCCAGCATTTCGCCATCAGCCGGTGGACGCAGTATTACATGATGTCGAAACAATGCACGGAAGGTGGGGACCAATTAATTATTAAGTGTAATGACCGTCTCAAACTCATTACTACGCATTTGGTTCATCTAAATCAGCGAAGGGGGTCCACAAGCGGTCAACCGATATAGACCACATGTGGTACAGGGTCCACTCCTGAAGGCCGACTACTGCTCCTCCAGGTGGAAGATCTAAGCTGGAGTGCGAAGTAAATGGAGTTACCAAAGTAATTAGTGTCCTTTGCCGTCATATGCGAGATTGGTTTGTGATGCTCGGTATTTGTGTTCTAAGTTTACTCATCTGAGGACTAGTGGTTTAGCGGTTCATTTATTCGACTCAGTGTTGAATCGGTTCCGCGAAATCCTATCACGCGCTCCGGTAGTAAGAACAGCACAATGGGTCGGAACAGGACTGTCTACATCGACAACCTGTACACCTTATATGACAGAAAGGTAAAACAGGTAATACACAGCTGTCAAAACCAACCAGTAGGCAGAAAGCGCCCTTATGGATAGGACCGAGAAGCGACGAAGATGGGAATTAATCAGATGTAGTCAACAAGGGTTAGAGTGACGTTAGCATCAGTGGAAATTACGGTTCATCCCCAAAAGCAACTTTCTATGAGTTTGCAAAAGTAACTCGTTACGAGGAATGTAACGGAACAAGCGCATCTAAATAAAAAATTACATTTTTATGATTTCTACCTTTGCGTATCTGAACTTACTGTACACTTAGCACCTTGCTCCGCTGCTCTACTCATGCATGGGTTCCGGCGCCCCTACAATATCGTAACTGGCGTACAGCCACTTGTGATTGCGCGGTGTAACAGCATGAGTACAGTGCTTATACGTTTTACTTCTACCTTTCTCTTGGTTGTGTGCTGCGAATTAATTCTCTCCAGGGAACACTTTTCTGGATCCGCCTTCTTCAGTATGGAAAAATGCGGTAGTTAGCAACCGTACTAGCGAAATTAGCCGACTTTGCACGTCAATTTGTGCGGTTCTACGGCGTATTGTAAAAAAGGTGCAAGGGACGATGAAAGCACTTGTGAACCAAAGCGAAAGCGATACTACGAATGTTGGTATTTACTTGAAGTAACGTTACATTGTCGTGGTTTGCTACAAGTTAGTCGTACCGCACTTGTCCCACACCTTCGACTATACGACTGTGGCATGGTTAACGCCTTTAGCAGTACATCGTCTGAGGCCATGGAATTAGCAGTTACAACGAAGTGTGATTGGAGCGATGTGGGTATGGTGGCATGCTACGAATCGCTTGTTTATAAGGTTGGGATGTGAATTGTGCTTTACGTCAAGAGGATTAACTGTGACGCCCGTTATCTGAGAAGCGTATGCTAGTAGCTGCAGCTGCGCACCTGTGAGGGGGTGGCCTGAGCCGTAACCGGTGATGATGAGCCGACAATTAATGCACTTCACCAAAACGTCCACCTAAATGTACCGGGACTATTTGTTGTAGGTAACTTCTCCCGGATGGATAAATGTACTAATTGCGGCTATCTTAAAAGTCTCCTACTGCTAGTCCGGAGGCGTGGTACTCCCAAGGCGGCTGGACAACAAATGGGGGAATTTAACCCGAGCTGAGGCGCATCTCTACCGCGATAAAAATTCACTAATATGGTTCACTCAATGGGATAAGGAGCAGGCGAATTAGCCCTATTTGACATAGAGTAAGAAACCTAACAGCTGACTAGCGTTTCTTTACGCGATGAATAAAGCGTGAGCCTGAAGAGATTGGAAGAAGTAACCGGAATGGGCTGTATCAACAAGAAATGTTCTGGGGGCTGAGGAGACGCTCCCACTTGGAGGCACCAATCCTTGGGGGTGATCATGTTGTTTAGAAATGGTAGCGACACGTAGGATGCGTGCCAGATAGGGTAATAGGTAGTAGAAGGCAAGAATGCTTAACCCGAAGTGCCTTGAGTTCGAAGGTAGGGGAGATGGAATACAGGTCGAGAGGAGCGATGAACCACGTGATGCATGCTCACTGGTAAATGACAACTGGTACTAAATTACACATAGTAAAGCGCATTCAACGCACGAAAGGTGGACTATGCGGTGTTTCCAGATTCATCGTATACCTCCTTGGTGTTTTCAGGTTCCTAGTAGTCTGCACCAAGTAGTACAAAAGTCAAACATTGTGAAGCTGGCTCAACGCATCGAGGGTGTCCGCCGAATGACCCAGAGCATTTTCGAACAAGAGTACCAAGAGGCATTGATCAAGGTGAAGGAGAAGATTCGGGACTCCGAAGGGCCCGACATGCGCGAAACTATACAGGATCAGATTCGCCAATGGTTCGTTGAGTGCAGGTAAGAAGGTCGGTTCTGTTTACTGTGTGGGAACGAGTATTTAACGTTTCTTACTACGCCATATTTTCCATCTGACCGTGCAGGAATTAGCATTTGCTAAAGGTCTCCCGATTAGAGCCCCATAGCGGTCTCATTGACCTTCAAATATGAATTTTACTCACAGCAGTTGTCCAGGGGTTTACCTAAAATGTCTTTCACTACTACCTCTGAAGATTAGTTGGCTCTACATAACACCTCTTTGGCTAACCCCGTGTCCATCGAATTAGTATGATTTTCCTGATAATGTGAAATCCAAAGCTACTCATTCTAGTTGGTAACCGCATAGCTGCAGCGCTTTCTTTATCGCCCACCTGCTTGTACGTAAAACAAAACCCATCTGTCGAAAAAGTGCTTGAGGTGGAATGAGATTAGAAGATTCTTATATGGTTTGTTGAACAGAGATGCAACGGGAAGGTTTCCAGACTATCCGGACGAAGATAAAGGTGGCTCGGCAGCAATTTTCAAAGAGAAGACTCCAGAACAGTTGGAAATTGAACTAAAGGAACGAGTGAGTTCAACAATGTATTGGCTCACAAAAGCTATCTGTAATAGTTCATGGGTTATATTTAGGCACTTGTACAACACACTTTCCGGTCCCTGCCTATCAGTCACAGGTGTGTACAATTATTCTTAAAAGGTGAGCGGTGACGCATTTAACTTGCTATCCAGCCGTCAAGAAATGAGTGCGAGTTCAAACTATAACGAATGCAGCTAGTCTTGTGTAAGCCGCACCGAACATTCAACCTCCATCGTTGCGTTGTAGTAAAAAGCCTGTTACTTGTGTACATTTTGGAGTTAACTGACGAGGCAATTCGATGTGTACTCTCCAATCCCACATACAGTAATCATTTTAGCTTTTTTTGATTAAAGTATATCTTTGAAAAAAAGTTATGCCCTCAGAACTCCACGTCTCTTTTTGGGTCTTTCCCTATCCACAACTTATAACCCATTGTTGAATGTGATTTTCCACTATAGGAAGAAGCAGCCTTGAAAGAAAAGGGAAAAAGAAGCAAAACATCCATCACCAAATCGGAGAACAAGACAAAAAAGAAGGCGGTAAGTCAATGAGGAAAAGCATCACCGAATTCACCTGGCATGGTTGAATGGATACCACTATTGATATCGTTCAGTTTGGGATAAATCGAATAGACGTGGGCTGCCTCCTTGCACCCAAACAAAGTGAATCCTCGCTAGTAATCTTCCTGATGTTGGCATAATTTTCGTTCTGGGAGAAATTGGCCTGTCCAACGGAAAACCCAGTCCGCAAGCTTTATGGTCATTTGGATTCGCCATTTCAGTAGCCTTTTTATTGTACAGAAGTGTGTAAGTTGCCTGAGTGGGCACGGCTTGTAAAATGTGAGCGCTCAAAACAGTACAGGCACCAATACTGCACAGCAACCTTTACCATCAAACACTTGCATGTGTTGCCTCCTTACATGTGCTGCTGCCCTGAGGCATATTAACGAAGCGCACTGGTAATAAAGCGTTGAAATCGGGCCACCAATTTACACCGGTTTGGTGTTATCGTCATAGACTGATTTTTGGCCTCTTCTGATATACTGTGAGTGATCAGTAGGAGTTAACAGATCGGCTAAAGCCCAAGGATGATTGTACCAAAACGGAGCTAATCCTACTTTAGGAAGTTCGGAGATAGTACTCACGACACGCATCCTCAGTGACTGACACTTGACGTTGCTTGGATGAGATCTAGGGGCTTTGGTTGCTACATTTGATTTTGCCTATGGAGTGATGTCCAAATACCAGTCGGCCCGTAGCCTAGAGGTAACGAGCTTGTCTTGTAATCTTGCTACGCGGATTCGAATCCGCGTAGGGGTGGACGTCCTCGCGGTATACTCAGCCCGTGTGCGACTGTTGGTGGTCGCACGGCAGCGAAGCGCTCTTACGGCGTACAGCTGACACGTTTATTTCATTAGTAGTCGCAAGCTGTAGCACGTAAGATGCGTACGGTGTACGAGAATACGGCTGAATCCAGCGTGTATTGACAAGAGCTATGAAGAATTAAGGGCAATTAGGCAAGAGTGAACAGCAGCGTAGCGGTGCGACTCACACGGCAAGTGTAACTAAACGGCATGTGCCACCAGTAAAACGACTGAAAGATCAGAAAGTACGAAGAGCAATAAAATCCAGTGTCACAAAATACTGCAAACCTAAATGTTTCACGTTCAGTATAAGAACCCCCCTTAGAAGGCTAGGTGAGGGAAGCCTTAGATAGAGATGTCCAGTTGTGAGACAAAATGGGATGACAGAATCGGGTATCAAAAGGAGGGGACACAGGTATTAGAGAAATGGGGCGTGTGGAGTTCGCTGAGTTCAGCTTTTTGCTATCTCTTATTTGAATGTGGAGTGGAGTTCATCATCGGGGGGCCGTCGGGGCGGATTCTTCTTACTGCAAAAATAACTGGCTAGTCCAGAGAAATACGGACAGGACAGTTCCTCCTCTGCAGACCCGACGCTGCGTATAGTAGATGTTAGTTCCCCTACTGCACTCGAGTCCACGGTCAAGGCCATCTCCTAAGGAGAATTCTAGGTACTGCCGTTGAAAAGAGCCAAACACTCAGGAGCAGACTAGCTGTTGTCATCATCTGTAGTATGGGAATAGCGGTTGCTTGGAGTCAAGGTGCTGGGTCTGCGGCTGGGGGCAACTGGGCCTGGAGATGCCGCGGTTATTCGGATGAGTTGGGTTCTAGGATGTAAAACCCGGGGAGGGTGAGGCATGGACGGAACTGGCGGCATGATGCCATATGGAAAGCGAGCAAATATACAAACCAAAACGATCCAACTTTATTTCAAAGTTTCGGTTTTATGTCGTTTTGTAAAAAGTTTGTGAATGAAGAAGATGATCGCCACGGAAGCTGAAAAGGTGCATGTTAAGGCAAATGGAAAATGTTGGCAAAATCGGAGAAACGGGCCGGATGTTTGGCCTGTCTACCGCGCCGGTCAGTTTCCTGGAATTAGGCTTTGGTTTGCCGAAGGTCATGGGTAACGGAGGAATTTGGGTTCGCTGGTGCGGAAGTTGAACTTGTAGATAACTGCATCGGTGCGGCTGAACCAGGTGAGGTTGGAGGCGGATCGATGGACACTTTGCTCGGTGACCAATCTGGTCCTACGTAAAGTGCTTCCGTGTTCGTTGGATAACTCTCAAGAAGCCGATGTAAGGAGGCTGAATGTGATGACGCACTGCGTCTGTGCAAACGAAAACATGAGCGCAGGTAGAGAGTCCACTGCATTTGCACAACTCTGTTCTACTGACGTTGGAACAATGGTTTTAAACGGGTAAAAAAGTTAACTTAGCAGATCCCGTAGGATGGTCATGGTTACACTTTAAAATATAGAACTGATAGCAAAATTGGGTTTAGACCGGTGAACTCACTGTATACGTAGCATGAGCTGTAAATCCAAGGTAAACCCATAAGGAGTAACGGCAAATGGAATGTTGGTAAAAATCGTGTCTCCTTCTGGTATACACATACAGGTGAAAATCGTGAAACGAAATCTGGGCTTTGACTGCAAGTGAAATCTCTTGCAGACATTTGTGTTTATCTATGGATAAGGAGTTATGTAAGATGATGCAGCGAAATAAGTGCACGGTTAATTAGGGCTTTGACGTCTGCCAGCGTGGGAGCACATGACAGATTCCAGTAGGGCATTCCACGTTCTGTAAACACGTACGGAAAATAAATTCCGACGGTATTCCAAACGGTTCTATTGCTCTGCTAGCTTGAGATGATGGTTTCTCAAATCGCTGCTGTGACTGAGCTCTAGCAAGTAGCGACACGTGTGGTCGGGATCTCACAAAATCTGGTAAGTCAAAATGAGGTCCCTGCGCAATCGCCGATACTGTCCGCTGAAGACCCCGAACACTTGAAGCCTTCATCCATACGGCAAAGTATACAGATCCTGGTTGGTTGGAACAACCCCGATCATCCTGAACCAATACGGCCAAATCACATTCGGTAGTAGTTCGCTGCAGCACATGCCTTCCGAGCCTGTAACAGTGGTTGCTCTGGTGTCGTATAGAGAGCACCTTGTGTGATGGGAGTGTCATACCAGAGTGAACGGACGGGCTAACCGAGCGAACCCAATAGCCCATGGGACATTCATGGCTGACATTCATATGAGTTAAGTAAGGTTGGTTTAACTGACTTAAAGGATGAACCTCATTGCCCCAGAAGGGTCCTTATTTATGGACGTGAACGGGTAACTTATATCGAGGAATTTAACTTGCTAAACGTGCGGTAATTTTCGCTGAGCTGTCTTTGCCGAATAAGCGTTTGTCCCTGATTTACTGAGTTCTGCAACATGGTTTCAGAGAAGACAAAGACGAACCCGTCGGCGGCGCTCGGTTGTGGTTTGGACCACCAGCGTCTATTCAGATGCCTGTCCCATTGAACATGTGTGCACTGAACTTGGCGAGCAATTAGCATCTATGGAGGAGCAAGTGGGAGGATTTCTGCACCTTAGTACATTTGGACGAACAACCGATGGCGTATCGCTTGGCCGTGTTTCGACACGCAGCCGGGGATGATGCGCGCCGTGTTCTAAAGACAGGACATTACGACGAAGGCGAAGATCCCAATAATTTGGAGATGGTCATTGAAAAGTTCAGTGAATTTTGTGAAGATCAAACCAATGAGGCCTACCAGCGTTATCTTTTCTTTTCGCGCAACAGAGGCCCAAATGAAGCAGGTGACGCGTACATCACTGAATTGAAGATTTTGGCCGGACCCTGTAATTTCTGTAAATGCTTGGGTGACAGTCTTATACGCGATCGGATCGTTCTAGGAATCAATGATGAAAATACGACAAAGCGGCTCTTGCGACAAAGCAACTTATCGCTCCAGCAGTGCATTGATATCTGCAACATTGCTGAATTGTGTGCTGTTTCCGGAGGCAAAGCAGCGAAGGCTACTAACGTGAGACAGATCTGCAAAGTTTGCGCCGCTCAACACCCGAGCTCCCTCGAACAGTGTACGGCGGGGGGACGGAAATGCGCCAGAGGTGGAAGAAGGAACCACTTTGCTCGTCGCTACCAATCAACCAGTGTGAATGCGGTTGTTCGTGGCAAGACTCCCGCAGATGCAAAACATTCAATTGCCTACGTTTCTCGGAAGGTACCGCAAAAACGTATCTACCCAAGTCTTTTGATCGAAGGCAAAGCCGTACAATTCCAGTTAGACACAGGTGCTACTGTCAACATTCTACCAAGGAAGCACTGTCCCGGGGTGTACATCCGATCGGATCAAGATTGCTTGCGCATGTGGAATGATTCGAGAATTCATCCGAAGGGCTCAGCTACAATCGAAGTGGTTAAGCCAAGGGACGGAGCCTCATATCTAATGGAGTGGTAGTCGTGGAGCTCACGCCGATCCAGTCTCTCGGTTTTGTTGTGTTTCATCATGATCGTTTCGTGCAAGCTTGCCAGGGAGAAATCGATATTATTTACCAGTATCCGTCTGTGTTTAGCCAGGGTTAGGGAAAGTATGTGGGAACCGCTCATTTTTCGTCAGAAGCTTTGGTACAACCGGCAGCGCTAGCGGCTGAGAGAGTTCCATTTGCACTGCGTGACAGGTTCCACGCTGAGTTGAGCAAATTAGTGAGAGTGCATGTGATTGCCAAAGTTGACGAACCAACCGACTGAATTAGTCAGATCGCAATCAGTACGAAGAAGATGGGTGAAGTGCGTGTGTGTATTGACTCGAAACCGTGGAATGTGGCCCTGCGTAGAGAGCGTTATGCGCTGCCTACCTTAGAAGATACTTTGCCGCCTTTGGCCAACGCTAAGTAATTCACGAAGGTGGGCCTGTCTTCTGCATTCTGGCACGTGGTTCTAGATGCAGAATCCAATTTCCTTACTACATTTGCAACACCGTTCGGGTGTTATCGTTGGCTGCGTTTACCGTATGGTTTGAAGGTGTCGAGTAAATCTTTCCAAAAACGATTGGTGCAAGCGGTAGACGATTTAGATGATGTAACATGTGTGGCAAACGATGTGTTGATCTATGGCTCGACGGAAGGACAGCGTGCCGCTAATCTCCACCGTTTCTTGC